TTCCCTTCTTTTTCTTTGTCTTTCCCTCTCCTTCCTTTCTCCTTCTTTCTCCTTTTTCCTTCCTTCTTCCTTCTTCCTCCCCCTCTTTCCTTTTTTTCTTCCTTCCTCTCTTCCCATCTTCCCTTCTTTTTCTTTGTCTATCCTCTTTCCCTCTCCTTCTTTCCTTACCTCCCTTCCTTCTTTTTCCTTCCTTCTTCCTTCTTCCTTCCCCTCTTTCCTTCTTTTTCCTTCCTTGCTCCCTTCCCACCTTCCCTTCCTTTTTCTCTTTCCTCTTTCCCTTTCTCCTTTCCTGCCCCTTCTTGGATGCTCAGATGCAAAAAGGGAAACATTTCTCCTTTTCTTTTGCTTGCAGTTTGCTTCGATAGCCCTCTGCCAGTGAAAATGGAGCTTGGGGGGGCTGTGCATAGCCCCCCCAAACTCCATTTTTGCTAGCCAGGGGCACCACGGGCTGGTCCTTCGCTGCTTGCAGGATGGCCCTGCGGTCCAGATCTAAGTACCCCACAGTCTGAATCCAGCCAGCAGGCCTCGAGTTTGACACCCCTGCTCTACCTGAAAAGAAGGGTGCACTTATCTCCTATTATGGGATGCTGCTGTACAAGTGGGCCCTCAGCTTACCCCCGTTCATTTAGCGACCGTTCCAAAGTTACAACAGCACTGAAAAAAGTGACCTATGACTGATTTCACACTTACGACCGTTGTGGCATTCCCCAGAGTCACGTGATCCAAGTTCAACTGGTTCGTATTTACAATGGCCGCAACGTCCCTGGGGGGGGGGTGTCACGTGACCCCCTTTTGCGACCTTCGGACAAGCAAAGTCCAAGGGGAAAAACCAGATTCACTGAACGACCGTGTGGCTAACTCAACCGCTGCAGGGATTTCGCTTAACAACCGTGGCAAGCAAGGTCGTAAAACGGGGCAAAGTTCACGTGACAAAAGTTTGGGGCTCGACAGTCGCCGTAAGTTGAGGAACAACCTGGAATTAACTTTTGGGGGGCACCCACAAACTTTGGAAAGCCGGGAAGGCTGTGGAAGAGGCAAGTTCTTTCGCCTTCGTTCAGAGGTGGGCACAACAACCGGTTCGGTGAGTTGCGTGCGCATGCACAGTACTTGCAAAACGACTTCTCCCGCAAGCAATCGCCTTCTCCTGCTGCTGTGCGGGAGTCAGCTGTGCCGCACAAAGCAACTAAGGTAAGAATAAAGGACAACCTAGTCCAGGGGTTGCCAACCTTTTGGACCTCGGGGACCCCCCAAACTCACCATTTTAAATCCCGCGGACCAGAGACCCTTGGAAAATCCCCCCACAAAACCCCAGGAAAATCCCCCACCCCGCTTTTTTCTACCGATCGATCGTTCTTTATTTGGGATCGCAGGAGACCGTCTCCAGCTCCGTTCTCAGGGAGAGAGAGAGAGAGAAAGAGAGACTTTTGGCTTCGTGCAAGAAAAACAGCAGAAGCCGCAGAAGTCTTTCTTTCTCTCCCCCAACCTCTGCAGGAAACGAGTCTTTGTGAGACTTTTTGCCGGCGCAGCCTCTTGGAGCAGGAGGCCTTGCAGGGTCCCAAAGACTCATTTCTGGTGGAGTTTGGGGGAGAGAAAGAAAGACTTCTGCTGCTTTCCTTGTGTGCAGCCAAAAGCGGAAGAAGAAAGAAGTGGAAAGGAGCAGCCCGGTGGCCAGGCGAGGTGCGTGGGGCAAGTGGGGCAAGTGGGGCAAGTTCCCCCCATCTGCCCTTTCCCCCTTTCTTCTCTCCCCTCATTACCTTGTGTCGTTTGCAATGCAAGCGACACAAGACTTGTGTTCCCGTGGGCCATGTGGGCGGCGCAGCCTTGTGTTCCCACACAGCCTGAATTAATTGCTTTGGGGGGGGGGGGACATTTCTATGTGAACTACCAAAATTTTCTTGCGGACCACCAATGGTCCCCGGCCCACTGGTTGGCGACCACTGGACTAGAGCCCAAGTGGGCAGGTGGGCCCAACCGAAGAAAAGATCTTCAGAACTAGTTTGGCGTCAGCTGCTCTTCGGAGCTACCGGTTCTATAGAACCGGGCCGAACCAGTAGAATTCCACCCCTGCTCTCGTTCTTTGCTGGGTTTGTTTTTTCCAGCAGCAATTTCTAAAGTTCTAAAACCAAACAGCGCCTACTGAATGGGTTTTTTTTTTTTTAAAAAAAAAAAATTGTTTTAATTGCTTTTAAGATTTGTCTCATTTTTGCATGGCTCCTTGGGCTCAAATTGTGGTCGCAAAGTTGAGAACTACACCAGGAGGTCAAGTAAAACATCAGAATGGGGTAGATTGACCGGTGATGGGGTGGAGGAGGCTGTTCCCATCCTTCTTTGGTCTTCTCCCTCCCCTTCTCCGGAGTCCTTTTTTTCCCACCCTTTCAATCTGTCTTTTGGCCAATCGGTTGTGTTCCTCAGGCTTTTCAGCCAAACCGAGATAAGAGTCCCTTAGACAAACAGAGGCGTAATTGTGGCTGCGCGTAACGCGGCGAAGGTGCAGTGGGCAGGCAGAGCTTCTAAAAAAGGAGCTGATCTCTGGAGCGGAGCGGAGTAAAAGAAAAACCTCCTTGGACAGGTGAACTGAGAAGCAAAAAAAAAACCACCAATGTATCTCAGCTCCCACTATCTCTGGGGCCAAAGGAGGAGAACGAACGCCTGGCTAGGAAGTGTCTGAAGGCCAAAGCCAAATGGGACCGTCATGGCCTCCAGCTTCATGTTCTTCGTGTCCATCCTGATCTACCTCTCTTCCTTCGTCGGCATGATCGGCAACCTCATTGTCCTCTTTGCCTTCCTGACGCACGCTGTCCGGCACAAGGCCCTCCAACCTCTGGACCGCATCATTGTCAACATGGGCCTGGTGAACTTCTTCCTCTGTTGCTACAAGGCCATTCCTGGGATGCTGGTTTTCAGCAGCACCAAAGTCTTCGGTGTGGAGGGCTGCCGGGTTCTCCTGTACACCTACCACACCCTCAGGCTGATCAGCATCTGGTCAGTGGAGAACTTGAGTATCCTCCACCTCATCAAGATCCGAAGGCCCAACTACCGATGGACAATGTTGATCCACAGGCATCAGTCCCGCTACGTCAACGTCACTCTCATTGGTTGTTGGGTGGCCAGTGTCCTACTGCAAATCCCTTATTTGCAGTACGAGAAGACCGGCGGTCAGAGAAATAAGACGATTCCCTTCTTGGCAACTTCTACTTGCTTGAGAGCCACAGAGAGCTTCGCCATGAAGTTTACCACCTACACATCCATTAGCCTTGACTTGGTGCTCATTCTCTTGGTCGTGATCCTCAACAGCTTCATCATAGACCTTCTCTGGAAGCACCACAGGAAGGTCAAAGCGTCGTCCTCTGTTGGAGGGACTGGGTGGAATAAACACACGGCCCAAGCCACCAAAATCCTGCTCTCCTTGCTCTCCATTTACGTGGTCTGCTGGATCGCGAACGACATGGTCTGGCTCATGATCATCTTGGGATATAACGGGAACAACATGGAGAGTAGCTTTCTGAGTGCCATGTACGGCGTGCTCTCCTCCATATATTATTCCGCCAGCTCGTACGTGATGGTGTTTGGGTACAAAAAGGTCCGTGAATATCTTGCAGAAACGTGCTGGTGCTTGCGATGTGGAAGGACCACGATGGTTCAGGCAGTCTCCTTGGTGGATGCGCTCCCCAGATGACGGAGAAGTTCTCCTCCAAGTGGACAACTCAACACTGTTCTTCGAGCAGTGGTGGGATGCTGCCAGTTTGGAGCGGTTCTAGCGAACCTGTAGTTCCGTCGATCAGCTGGCCCCGCTATCCTGTCCTATATTTCCGTCTTTTTCAACTCAACTGATTCACGCGGCACAGTGGATTTTGCGTAGCTCAGCTGTTCTACTTACCGGGGCTGCCCTGTAGAGATTCAAATTGGTGTATTTTGAATGCTGCGCGCTTTAGGTGCGTACTCACAGAACCACTGTCTTTGAGGGTGTCATAATTTTGGTCCTTGGTGGAGAAAGCTACAACCTAGACAAAACGGGATCGGTTCTGGAGCTGGTGTGGTGTCTGAACCTCAACATTTCAACTTCTGGAACCATATGATACAACAGTGGTGAGACTCATCTCTTGGGGGGATAAGTCTGCCTACCAAGATGAGGTGGACCAACAGTTGTTTTCGTGGTGTGGAGACAATAACTTGGTCCTCAACACCAAGAAGACCAAGGAGATGATAGTGGACTATATAGAAGGAACAGGTCAGAAATCCAGCCCTTGCTTATCAGTGGAGACCGAGGGGAGCAAGTGGCCGGTTTTAAGTTTCTGGGTGTTACCCTAAAAGAGGACCTGACCTGGGGGGCTCACATTGCAGCCCTGCTCAAAAGGGCCCAGCAGAGATTATACTACCTGAGGCTTCTCAGGAAACAACAATGTGGATGGAAAACTGCTGGTGACCTTCTACCGCTGCACCATAGAGAGTATCTTAACTTACTGCACACCTGTATGGTTTGCCAATTGCACAGGGGCAGATAGGACAATGCTCCAGAGGGTTTAATGTCATTGCCCTGAGGATCAATTGGTTGCCCTCTCCCCTCTTTGGAAGAGCTTTATAGCTCCCGCTGCCTTAAGAAACTTCAAAATATCCTCAAAGATCCATCTCAACCTGGGCACCCTTTTTTTTTTAACTATTGCCATCTGGCAGCTAATAATAATAGGATAATAATAAAAACAAGGACAAACAAGCTGTAAAACAGCTTCTATCCCATAGCAGTAACTCTACTGAATTCTACTTATAGTGCAATATTAATGCAATATCAGGGGTTTTCAATTCAATTGCGAAGGATATGTGTTTGTGTTTATTTTCATAGTCATAATGTACACTGAAGATGGTATTTAATTTCGTTGTATGAGGTGCAACGGCAATAAAATAAAATAAAATAAACTATTGCTGGTTGTTGGATTCTGGGCTCCATGGGGATGACAAATTCCAGGAAGAGAATGTCAGCCAGACAAAAAGGAAGGAGTGACAGCAATTTTGAGCTCTGCTTTCCGCTCTTCTTCACCGTTTGCAAAAATTATGGGCTTATCAGCTTCCATTTGAGAAAGCATCTCAGGTTGGGGCTTCTAACCAGATAGATAATATTGCAGTGGATGTTATGGAGGAAGGAAGAGAGGCCCACAAATAGAGGCATCGACAAGGGAGGGAGGCGTTTTTAAAATTCACGATGGAGGCTTCTCATTGCGTGGACTCCAGAGAAAAGGAGGAGGAAGCACGAAGTAAGAAGCAGTGGTGACTCTGAGAAACTGGGAAGGAGGGAGGGAGGGAGATGAGAAGCAGTTTGGTGTAACGATTAAGGTGCTGACTTAGAAAGCAGGAGCAGTGAGTTCTAGTCTCGCCTTAGGCAGGAAAGCTGGCTGGGTAACTTTGGGCCAGTCCCCCCCCTCCTCTCTCTCCCTCCCTCCTTCTCTCTCTCTCTCTCTCTCTCTCTCTCTCTCCAACCTCACAGGGTTGTTGTTTGTGGGGGGGAAGAGGAAGAGGAAGGAGAGTTATACACCGTATATTTGCCGCCTTGAATTACTTGTAAAAATAACAAAAGCAGGATAAAAACATATTTAATAAAAGATGGAAGGTGAATAGAGAGGGGGGGGGGGGAGTATTTGCTCTGTCTCAAATCTTGCAAAATTTAGAAGAGAGCACACAAATTTGTTGCTTCCTCAGAACAACACAAGCAACAGCAGAGAGGTCGGTTTGGACTGTAATTCTTGACCCAAGAGTAGGAATTTTGCAAGTGTGTCATTTTGCAGGATATACAATATTTGGATTACAATGTGTTTGTCTTTTTTAATAAAGTGAAAATTTTTACAATCTCAGGTATGGACGTTTGAATTTCTGCCTCCTCCTCGTCCTCCTCCTCCTCTTCTCCTCCTCCTCCGAATGGACCTGTAAACTTTTAACCTGTCTTCTTCTTCCTCTTTTGCCTCCTCTTCTTCTTCCTCCTCTTTCTCTTTTTCCTTCCTCCTCTTCCTTCTCTTCTCCTCACCTCTTCCTTCTTCCTTTTTCTTCTTCTCCTTTACCTCTTCTTCTTCCTCCTCTTCCTCTATACAAACTTCTTAACTGTCTTCTTCCTCTTCTTCACCCTCCTCTTTCCCCTTCTCCTCCCTCCTACTTCTCTTCTTCCTTCTCCCCTCTCTATTCCTTCTACATCCTGCAAATGACAGTAGCGTGGAACAAGCCCGCTGTTCACTCTCACTGAGTGACCATACAATGTACATTTACATATGCTATTTCCCGTGCAAAAAGTGGATAAATATCTGCTTCCCGTCCGTTACGTACAAATGAACAGCTGCCAGGTTTATCTCCCGGGAACACTAGAATAAAACTAGAAGCCCTCAAGGGCTGCAATGTTCACTCTCGGTCCCCTTGCACAATCAAGGGGGGGAAAACACACACACACACACACACACACGAGCAAAAGCAAAAAGCAAAAGCCAGCTAAGCATCTCAAAGAAACTGGCTTCAAAAATTCCATTGCTTAGGGGATGCTTCAGCAAGTTTAAATGCTTTTCTTCTCATCATTAGGATTACATTTCTGGGTGCACAGATTAATTCCCCAAATCTGGAGGATAGGATAGGATGGGATGGGATGGGATAGAAATAGAATGGAATAGGGAATAGGGAATAAGGAATAGGGAATAGAGCAGAGAAGAGCAGAAATGGAATGGAATTGGAATTAGAATGGAACGGAACAGAACGGAACAGACATGGAATGGAATGGAATGGAATGGAATGGAATAGGATAGGATAGGATAGGATAGGATAGAATAGAATAGAATAGAATAGAATAGAATAGAATAGAATAGAATAGAATAGAATAGAACAGAATAGGACATGGAATGGAATGGAATAGAATAGACATGGAATAGAATGGAATGGAATGGAATAGAATAGAATAGAATAGAATAGAATAGAATAGAATAGAATAGAATAGAATAAGGAATAGGAATAGGAATGGAATAGAATAGAATAGACATGGAATAGAATAGAATAGAATAGAATAGAATAGAATAGAATAGGAATAGAATAGGAATAGAATAGGGTGGAAGGGACCTTGGAGGTCTTCTAGTCCAACCTTCTGCTCAAGCAGGACAACCTATATCATTTCAGACAAGTAGCTGTCCAGACTCTTCTTTAAAAAAAACCCAGTGATGAAGCAGCTACAACTTCTGGTGGCAAGCTGTTCCACTGGTTAATTGTTCTCACTGTTAGGAAGTTTCTCCTTATTTCTAGGTTGCTTCTCTCCTTGATTAGTTTCTATTAGTTGCTTCTTGTCCTGCCCTCAGGGGCTTTGAAAAGTAAGTTGACCCCCCCCCTCTTTGTGGCAGCCCCTCAAAATACTGGAATATTGCTATCATGTCATCCCTTGCGCTTTTTTTTTCCCCCCCTCCAGACTGGCCATACCTAATTCCTGCAACCGTTCTGGATATGTTTCTGCCTCCAGGCCTTTAAAATCATCCTAGTCGCTCTTCTCTGCACTTTTTCCAAAGTCTCAGCATCCTTTTTTTGTAATGTGGGGACCAAAACTGGATGTAGGATTCCCGGTGTGGCCTTACTAAGGTTTTACAAAGCAGTAGTAATATTTCATAGGATCAGAAAGAATGCTAACAAGCAGATGGCTGCAAGGAATAGAAATCCTTCCACCCTCCACCGTTTCGCCAGAGGCGAAGAAGCTTCTTGGATGAAAAACAAAATGTTTTCAGGGGTGGGGAGGAAAAACCAGCAAAGTCCAGTTAGTTGCCTTTTGAAAAACACTTTTGGGACAAAGAGCAAACAAATAGGCGAGGACTTACCCAACCTTATCTGCCGGTCACGTTTGCCATTCTTCTTCCTGCAGGCTCTGAATGGTGGAGGACTTTAGTTTCCCTTGTCAGCTGCTCTATTGTAACACCATCACTTTTAGGAGAAAAGAATAACTGTCAGATAGTCATATATTCTCAAGGAAGGCTAATTACCATCGGCAAACAAAGGGGTTTCTTTCTTTATTTGAGTACACCAAAGAGCTGAAGGCAGAATCAATACAGCAGCGTGCATGATGTCCGTGCACCCGGGTTTGTGTGTGCATGTGGATGTCAGACTGAGTGAATGTTTATACAGTATATCTTTCAGCAGATTTGCTAATGGCTTTTCCGATACTTTCAGCAGAGGCCTGAAAAAAAAAAAAGAAAATCTCATTACAGGGAGTCCTTCTGTTGCTCAGTGAAACCTGTGTTACGTGAATTTTGCCCCCCGTTTTACGACTTGCCATACCGCGGTTGTTAAGGGAATCGCGAGTTGCTAAGTGAATCCGGCTTCCCCATTGCAGGTCAGACATTCGCGTGACCCTGGGACACTTCAACCGTCATAAATATGAGTCAGTGGCCAAATGCCTGAACTTTGACCACAGGACCATGGGGATGCTGCAATGGCCATAAGTGTGAAAAACAGTCATAAGTTACTTTTTTCACTGCCGTTGTAACCTGGGTTACTGAACAAATGGTTTGCATTCAAGACTGACCACAGGGAGGCAGTATGCAACCTGTTGTGTTCTTGTTCAAATTGATGCAGCATAGATAACACGCATACACACCCCCTTGGAGTGAACATAATCATTCTACTGGGGAAGGAAGGGGAAGAGAAAAAGGGAAGGAAGGAAGGAGAGAGAAGGGAAGGAGGGAGGGAGGAAGGGGAAGGGAAGGAGGGAAGGAAGGAAGGAGAGGGAAGGGAAAGAGAAGGAGGGAGGGATGGAGGAAAGAAAGAAGGAAGGGGAAGGGAAGGAGGGAGGGAATGAAGAAGGAAGGAGAGGGAAGGGGAGAAAGGGAGGGAGGTGAAGGGAGGGAGGGAGGAAGGAAGGGGAAGGGAAGGAAGGAAGGAGAGGGAAGGGAACAGAAGGAGGGAGGGAGTAAGGGGAACGGAGGGAGGAAGGGAGGAAAAGGGGAGGGAGGAAGAAAGGAAGGGGAAGAGAAAGGATATATGATGGATGAATAGAAGGGGAGGTGAGATTATTGGGTATTATGGAAGGGTGGATAAGGAGGAAGGAAAGAAGGAAATGTATATATTATGACACATGGATAATAAGTAGGGGAAGGGACATAAATAACTATACAGATAATACCTAGATAGATGGATAAGTAGAAGGGAAGGGGAAAGGAAGGGAGGCAATGGATGTATAAAGCTTGGTTGAAGTCAGCATGCTGGCTGGGCACTCCTGGCAGTTGCCCCACACATCTTAAATTTGATCTGAGTTTGAAAAAAATGCTATCAGATCTGTGATTGCGAATTAGTTTTCTTTCCCCCCTTCCTGATGGTTTTTTTTTTAAAAAAACTAACGTTTGATTTGGCTTTGTGCAGAAGTGGGTGCACGTTGCTCTGCAGTATTTCTTAGAGAAAGCCCATGCACGTACTGGAAATAGCAAAAGTTGCATTTTATTTATTTATTTATTTATTTATTTAGTTATTTAGTTATTTATTTATTTAGTCAAGCATGTATTAGATAACATATATAAGTACAAACATGATTATGAGTACATGAGTACATTTGAGTACATGAGTACATTTCTACCCGAAAAAGCTCACCGGAAGCGCTGGCGCCGCCATCTTTTTTGACGAAAAAGTGCTTCCGGTGAGGTCACCGGAAGCACTTTTTCATCAAAAAAAGATGGTGGCGCCCAGTTGATGCCGGTACCGGGCCGCGGCATAAAAAAGGTTGGGGATCACTGAAGTAGACCACAACCTACTTCTTAGTAAGCTAGAAAAAAGTGGAATAGATAGCACCACCACTAGATGGACTTGCAACTGGCTGACAGACTGTACTCAATGAGTAGTCAGTCCTTAATGGGTCTAAGTCTACCTGGAGGGAAGGAAGCAGTGGGGTGCCACAAGGTTCTGTCTTAAGCCCAGGACTTTTCAATATCTTCACTAACGACTTAGATGAGGGAATAGAAGGGGAACTTAGCAAATTTGCAGATGATACTAAGCTGGCAGGAATAGCTAACACCCAAGAAGATAGGCTCAAGATCCAGATGGATCTAGACAGACTGGAACCCTGGGCCGTATCTAACAAAATGAAATTCAATGTAGAGAAAAGTAAAGTCCTACACTTAGGCAAGAAAAACCAAAAGCCACACATACAGACTGGGTGAAACCAGGCTCAATAGCAGGAACTGTGAGAGGGATCTTGGAGTCTTAGTGGACAACCAGCTAAATAGGAGCCAGCAGTGTGCAGCAGCAGCTAAAAAAGCCAATGCAATCCTAAATTGCATTCACAGAGGGATACAATCCAGATCAAGGGAAGTACTAATCCCACTCTATAAAGCCTTAGTAAGACTATACCTAGAGTACTGCATCCAGTTTTGGTCACCACACTATAAAAAAGATGTTGAGACTCTAGAAATAGTACAGAGAAGAGCAACCAGGATGATGAGGGGACTGGAGGATAAAACATACGATGAACAGTTGCAGGAACTGGGCCTGGCTAGTCTAGGGAAGAGAAGGACCAGGGGAGACATGATAGCAGACTTCCAATATTTGAGGGGCTGCCAGAGAGAGGAGGAAAGGGGTCAAGCTATTCTCCAAGGCACCCGAAGGCCAGACAAGGAATAATGGATGGAAACTGAACAAGGAAATAAGGAGAAACTTTCTGACAGGGAGAACAATCAACCCATGGAACAGAAGTTGCCCTGGGAAGTTGTGGGAGCTTCGTCACTTGAGACTTTCAAGAAGAGAGTGGACTGCCATTTGTCAAAAATGGTGTTGGGTCTCCTGCTTGGACGGGGTGGGGGGTTGGACTAGATGACCTACAAGGTCCCTTCCAACTCTGATTATCTATTAATCCGTTTTTAACTCCCAGAATTCCTCAGCCAGCCATGTTTAGCTGAGGACTTCTGGGAGTTGAAGTGCACAAGTCTTAAAGTGGCCCAGTTTGGAGACACAAACCCGCTCTAAACTTTCGTTCATAAAATATCTAGACAGCGCAGTGTATCTGGGAATCTCTTCATTAATTGCCTGGCCTATTTCCAAGGCCAAAATAAAGGCAAAAGTTTTTTTTTTAAAATCAGGCACCTCGTCGGACAGCTCATCGGGGGAGAAAAGCCCGATGTCGAGCCTTCGGGTTGCTAGGCGACGCCGCGGGAGGGCGAACCCCGATCGCCTTCCTTTGCCTCTTCCGCCCGCGCGCCAACCAACCAGGCAAACAGGCAGGCAAAGAGTGGGCGTGGCCATAGCCTCCGATCCCCGCCCTCCGCTTTCCTTACCTTCGCTTCTGGATTGCTCGGCTGTCCCGAGAGGCCCGACCGGAAGAGGCGGGGCTTACGGAGGCCACGTGACGAACATGGACCCGGTGCTTTACGTGGTGGCGGCGGTGCTGCTGGCGGCGCTCCTCGTCTTCGTCAGCCGCGTCCGGGGACAGGCGCGCGCGGGTAGGACCCTCGCCTAAAGGGGTCGTTGGGTCTGCAGCGAGGGGTGGGTGGGGGAGAAGCAGCCTTGCGGGCGAGAGCGAAGGCCTAGTTTGGCCGGAGGCCTCCGTTCGTCTGGAACTACAATTCCCACAATCCCTCTGGCCAGCGTCTAAGCACCTGCGCTGTCTGGAGAGTCTGGGAGTTGTAGTCCAGCGCCTTCTTCACTGACTCCCTTAAAGCCAGGGGTCTCCAAACTTGGCCAGTTTAAGACTTGTGGACCTCAACTCCCAGAATTCCTCCTCCAGTCATGGTAGCTCCAGGAATTCTGGGAGTTGAAGTCCACAAGTCTTAAACTGGCCAAGTTTGGGGACCCTTGGACTAGTTGGTACAATAGTAGCAATTGCAAGAGGGATCTTGGAGTCTTAATGGACAATCAGTTAAACATGGGCCAGCTGTGTTTGCTGCAGCTGCCAAAAGAGCTGACACAATTCTAGGTTGCATAAACAGAGGGACAGAATCAAGATCACTGTAAAATGTTAATACCACCTTTATAATGTTAAGGCCACACCTGGAGTACTGCACGGTCGCTATGATACAAAAGAGATGTTGAGATTCTGGAAAAAGTGCAGAGAAGAGCCACGAAGAGGATTAGGGGACTGGAGGATAAAACATACCAAGAACGGTTGCAGGAATTGGGAATGTCTCGCTTAAAGGACTAAGAGTGGCATGAGAGAGCTGTGTTTCAATATCTCAGGGGCTTCCCCAAAGAAGAGGAGGTCAACTTATTCACCAAAGCACCTGAAGGCAGGACAAGGGATAATGGATGGAAAAGTCTTGGGATTTAAGAGTCGAACCAGCAGTGAAGCTGATCAGATGCGGCTGATGCAATAGGGATGAATCACCATAGCATGGGTATTTCTCTTTAAGACTGGGAATGGGGGCTGCCACAGAGAGGAAGAGGTCAAGCTATTTTCTAAAGCCCCCAAAGGCCAGACAAGGAACAATGGATGGAAACTGAATAAGGAGAGATTCAACCTAGAAATAAGGAGAAACTTTCTGACAATGAGAACAATCAACCCATGGAACAGAAGTTGCCCTCGGAAGTTGTGGGAGCTTCATCACTTGAGACTTTCAAGAAGAGAGTGGACTGCCATCTGTCAGACATTGTGTAGGGTCTCCTGCTTGGGTAGAGGGTTGGACTAGATAACCTACAAGGTCCCTTCTAACTCTGATTATCTGTTATCTGATGGGTTCTTCTCCTTTAAGAGGTGTTTATATAAAGGCAGCCGTTAAAGGGCGTGTTCTCTCCTCTTGTGTCCGGTATTCATTGCAGAGTTCTCCGTTTCTAGAAGAAGATAGATTGCTTGTAAGGTATTCTGCTTACCACATATATGTCTGTATATAACTGTTGTATATAAACCACTGTTAAATGTCTAAGGCTCTTTGTGCTGTGTTTTGCTCCTGGGTTGTCTCACAGTAGCAGTCACACTGCAAATCCTCTGACAGAAACTCATGAAGGAGAGGAGCAACTTTAGAACTAAGGAGAAACTTCCTAACAGTGAGAACAATTAACCACTGGAGCAAATTGCCTTTGCCCAATCATTGGAGGCTTTTAAGAAGAGTCTGGATAGCCATTTGTCAGAAATAGTATAGATCTCCTTTGAGAGGAGGGGGTTGGACTAGATGACCTCCAAGATCTCTTCCAACTCTGTTATTCCTTTTCATGGCAATACCACAACCAACTGGTGAAACTTAACTCCAGCTTTGCCAGACAAGTCAACTTAAAACTATTGTTTATGGACCTGAGTAGTTGGCTTACATTATTATTAGGCATAATGACTAACTTTAGCTAGTCCAATCCCCTGCTGAAGTGGGAAATGCTATACCATTCCAGACAAGTGGCTGTCCAGTCTCTTCTTAAAAACCTCCAGTGATGGAGCATCCACAGCTTCTGGTGGCAAGCTGTTCCGCTGGTTAATTGACCTCACTGTTAGGAAATTCCTCCTTAATTCCAGGTTGCTTCTCTCCTGGATTAGTTTCCACCCTTTGTTTCTTGTCTTGCCATGCTTTGGAGCAGGTGTCTCCAAACTTGGCAACTTTAAGACTTGTGGAGTTCAACTCCCAGAATTCCTCAGCCAGCTTTGCTGGCTGAGGAATTCTGGGAATTGAAGTCCACAAGTCTTAAAGTTGCCAAAGTTGGAGACTACTACTTTGGAAAATAGCTTGACCCCCGCCCCACTCTCTTCTTTGGGGCAGGCCCTCAAATACTGCTATCATGTCCCCCCTGGTCTTTCTTTTCTCTAGACTAGCCAAACCCAAATCCTGCAACGGTTCAAGCTGTATCCAACCACCTGTGACACATCAGGTGTGATCTTTCACAACTTAGCTGGTCTGAATTGGTATGTCTCAGGCAGTGTGGGCTTCCACAGGATGTGATATTCGCAGTCCGTTAGCTTCTTTGGTAAGTGTAGTTGTACCATAGTCTATTTTGCAGACTCCTCTGCATTCCTCCTATGTGTGCAAGACTCTGTCTTAACCGTTACATAAAGTACTCCAGTTCTTATTCACACGCAGATAAGGAATATATAATGTTTCCCTATATGAAAAAAAGATTATTTTTTGCATTTCCCCCCGCTTACAATAATGCTTTATACTGTATATACATACATACATATATATGTATGTATGTAAGTATGTATGTATATGTGTGTATGTATGTATACACACACACACACACACACATATATGGTATTCAGCTTTGTTCGAGTATTTTCCCATGTTGTTATAGTTGTGCTTTTAAAGTTGTAGCAACGTTTCGGCAGAATCTCATCTGCCATCATCAGGCTTCTGTATATATATTTGATTTGTCAATAGCTTACAAGACAATAGGTATAAGTATAAACATGAGTAAGAATACAGGAAATAGGTACGAAAAAATTGGGACATATATATATATATAGAGAGAGAGAGAGGGAGAGAGAGAGATTAGATAGATAGATAGATAGATAGATAGATAGATAGATAGATAGATAGATAGAGATAGAAAGATAAAACTATGGATGGATGGATGGATGGATGGATAGATAGATAGATAAAACTATGGATAGATAGATAGATAGATAGATAGATAGATAGATGATAGATAGATAGATAGATAGATAGATAGATAGATAGATATAAGCATATGGATATATGGATATACTGAACCAGAGGAAAAAGTATTTATTTTCACCCATGCAAGCATCACTTTGCTCATTACTCCTAGTACAGGCTAGTCCCTGACTTATGACCACAATTGAACCAAAAATTTCTGTGGTTAAGTGAGACATTTGTCAAGTGAGTTTTGCCCCGTTTTACGACCTTTTTGGCCACGGTTGTTAAGTGAATCACCACAGCTGATCAGTTAGTCACCCGGTCGTTAAGTGAATCTGGCTTCCCCCATTGACTTTGCTTGTCAGAAGGTCGTAAAAGGGGATCACGTGACCTTGGGATCACAGCAACGGTCGTAAGTATGAGTCAGTTGCCAAGGATCCGAATTTGGATCACGTGACCAATGGGGAGGCTGCAAAGGTGGTAACTCTGAAAAACGGTCATAAGTCCCTTTTTTTCAATGCCGTTGTAACTTTGAGCGGTCACTAAACGAACTGTTGTAAGTTGAGGACTATCTGTATAGTTTGGCATGTTCTTCTGCACTGGGGTTGAATTAATGGATCTAATCTTTTGGATAGTGGTGTTGAATCGTGAGTAGACCACACTTAAGCCTTGTTCTGACCAAGGCTTCCTGAGACCGTAATTAAGCACACGCTTAGTCCAAACAACTCTTGTTTTATTTCAAATAATTCATTCCCAGCCCATAATGGGTCCTAAACAGTTCCTCGAGATAAGCACCCACCTTTCTCTCCTTTGAATTGCTGCCAACAACTAAAGTGCCAAATGAACTATAAAAACCCAACCGAAGTACAAAGTCCACACAGAGCTTCAAGGATTAATCCGAACAGAGTGAACGTCTTTGCTTCCTGCAAAGGTTTCTCTACCTTTTCCTGACTTTTATCCCTTATGGGAGGGGCAATCACCTTCCAGCCTTAGTCCCGAGTTGCCCCTTTTGTTTCAGCTGCTCTCACCATCTAGCAGCTCTGTACATACACGCACTGGGAACAGGCTCCCCTTGTTCCTCTGCCTCGCTGCTGCCAGACTCCAGAGGCTCCAGAGGCAGCACCCCACTCCCAGACGGCCCCGGTCCCATCCCTGCATCGGACACAGGACCTTCGTCCGAGTCCTCCCCAGACTCCCAGACTGGCCCCCATTCTGCTACCAGCTGCCAGCAAACCACAACAAGCTTCTGCAATTCTGTTTTTCCTCTTTGTTTAGAAAAAAAAAAAACGAGTTCTGTGGAATTCTGAGTTTAACCCAGTTTTCTCTCTCCCTCCCTCCCTCCCTCCCTCTCTCTCTCTCTCTCTCTCTCTGAATATTTTGAAATGGAGTTGCTGATGGCACTATTGTTATTATTTTTTAGATTTCGTAAGCTGCAGCTTCATGAAATGCACAGAGTGCTTAGCTCCAAACTGTACTACAGCACAAAAATGGATTTTTAATAAAATGTCTTGGTTGGAAAAAAATATATATATCAAATACCCAAAAAATATAAGGAAGAGTTCTATTTGATGATACACGTCATCACCACAGCAAGAATGGTATTTGCCCAGAAGTGGAAAGAGAAAGAAATTCCTAGTGAAGATGAAGTAATAAATAAAATTTTGACTTGCGCGGAAATGGATAGGCTAACACTAGAGATGAAAAATAAGGATGAATCGGAATATTATATCATTTGGAATCGATTTTACTATTGGTGGGGACAGAAAGGAAGGGTTTAACTTTGAACAGAATTGTTAAGATCTGTGATCATCAGACTTAAATTATTCCAAGAGTGCTGGAAGATGTAAATAAGGATGAATAAATATATATATGTGTATATATATATATATATGTACTTATATAATGTATATAAGATCTATATTCTATTCTATTTCACTAGAATGAGGACCAAAAGTTATGTCAAAACAACTCCACTACGTTCAATGTTTTTTAAATTATATTTAATTAAAAAAAACATTTTTTAAAAAAGAAAAACAGGCTACCCCACTCAAGCTTTCCGCCAAGAACGTATCCAGGAGAGCAATATGAGCGACGAGAAATTTTTACCCTTGTATTTTTTATCCCCTGCCGTTTTAACGACAAATTACTTTGCTTCATCAATTAATCTGGCCCATTTTAAAATATATGTATAAAGCAGGAGGAGGAAATTGTGCAAAAGAAAAACGGGCATGAATATAAGTAAAATATAATTGCAGAAATTAATATGCCTATTATCGATGAATAAGGATCATAATGAACGGGATCACAATAATCTTTATTATTACCTTGGCAACAATAAAAAATTTCCCCCCTCCCAGCTTGTCTGTATGTTTAGATTCAGACTTTGCCTAATGAGACATCCATTAATAGAATGTCTTATTTAGAGGGTGTCTTAGTTTCTATTTGGTGCCAGAACAAGACACTTTTAAAATGATTTTATTTTTTTTAAGGAAGAATCTAAATGGCACTAATGTTGGGGATGTGGGGTGATGTTGCTATGATCTGGATAAGTGTTTTTATGGAGTGATTTGGAGGTCTTCTAGTTCAGGGGTCGCCAACCTTTTGGATCTCAGGGATCCCCAAACTCATAATTTTAAATCCTGCAGACCAGAGACCCTGGGAAAATCGCCCCCCAAAATTCTGCAGAAAAATTCCCCACCCCATTTTCCTACCTATCGATGGGATTGCAGGATACCATCTCCAGCTCCGTTCTCAGGGGGAAAGAGAGAGAGAAAGGGAGAGACTTTTGGCTTCATGCAAGGAAAGCAGCAGAAGCAGCAGAAGTCTTTCTTTCTCTCCTCCAAACTCCACCAGAAATGAGTCTTTGCCAGCGCAGCCTCTTGGAGCAGGAGGCCTTGCAGGGTCCCAAAGACTCATTTCTGGCGGAGTTTGGGAGAGAGAAAGAAAGACTTCTGCTGCTTTCCTTGCGTGCAGCCAAAAGCAGAAGAAGGAGAAAGAAGTGGAAAGAAGCAGCCTGGTCGCCAGGCCAGGCGTGTGGGGTGAGTGGGGCAAGTTCCCCCACTCCGCCCTTTCCCTCCTCCCCTCACTACCTCCTGTTGTTCGCAATGCAAGCGACGCAAGCCTTGTGTTCCCGCGGGCCATGTGGGCAGTGCACACATCCTGAATCCATTGTTTTTGGGAGTGCTTTGTGGGTGACACTTCTCTGGGGACCACAAAATTTTCTCACGGGCCACCAGTGGTCCCTGGTTCCCTTGTTGGCAATCGCTGTTCTAGTCCAACCCCCTGCTCAAAGAGGAGGCGCTATACCAGGGGTCCCCAAACTTGGCCACTTTTAAGACTGGTGGACTTCAACTCCCAGCATAGCTGGCTGGAGAATCCTGGGAGTTGAAGTCCACCAGTCTTAAAAGTGGCCAGGTTTGGAGACCTCTGCCCTATACCATTCAATACACATGGCTGTTCAACCTCTTCTCGAAAACCTCCAGCGATGGGGCACCCATAACTGCTGAAAGCAACTCCCATTCCCCTGATTAATTGTTCCAACTGTCTGGAAGTTTGTAGAGATTCTCAGTCATCCAGGTGATGGTTGTCACAAAGGTTCTTTTTTTCAAGAGGCAACTGGGTTTTTTTTTCTTTGAAGACGTTTCACTTCTCATCCCAGAAGCTTCTTCAGCTCTGACAGGATGGTGGGGAATGATTCTGTTAGGAATATAAGTCACCTAACAGGTATTTGGGTTAGAAATATATAAACCAGGATAGACATTTTCGTACTGTCTCTTTAAGAGAATTCTAAAAGTGTAATTGGGTGTGGTTTCTCAAACGGCCATAAGATGGAGCCAGAAACCTGGTTTGTTTTAGTCTTAGTCTCAGAAGAGAGTGCGTCTGAGTGAGTATCTCTGTTTCCTTCTGTTGGAAAGTACTGCCGTTGCTCCATTTCTTCTAACTGACTGATATTACTGGATTTAATGTAAGTCTGATACTGAACTGTTTTTTCACACTGGACTTTCCTATTTGGATTATCCCTGGATTGAAAACTGACTGATTTAACTTGTGACTTTGGACTGCTTATTTTGGACTTTGCTTGAACCTTTCTGGAAGTAAAAACCTACATTTACTGTACAGTGTATCTGTGTGCTGTGTGTGTATTATTCAAACACTGCTCTCAAATACATCTCTCCCTGTATGCGCTCATTCTCCTAACGGGGAATTACCTCAACAGATTCAATCAGAGTTGAAGAAGCTTCTGGGATGAGAAGCGAAACGTCTTCAAAGAAAAAAAAAACCCAGAAAGTCCCAGTTGCCTCTTGGAAAAAAAAAAAAAAGAACTTTTGGTTTAAAGCAAAAACGGCCCTCTTGTTTGCTAGCCTTGTGCTTTTAACCACTGCACCAAACTACCCCCTCATTTATCTGCAGCGCCCCCTAAAACTCCTTCCTTTTCTCATCTAGGCGATGAAGAACACCGTCAGAATGTGGCAGCAGCAGTGGCAGCAGCCGCCCGACCCCAGCCCGTCGCGGCCGAGCGGGGCGAAGGGATGCCCAGGCACCGAAGAAACAGGCTGGTGGCCCTGCGACGCTCGCAGCAAGCGGAGGAGGCAGCGGAAGGTACCATAGCAGCTCCTTGGGGTCCAGGTTTTAAAACTTAATGTTTGCCTGCTCCTGATTTTATGGATTGATATCCCGCCTATATTATTTTGGCAAATAGTTCAAGGCGGGGAGCACACCTCATGTGTCGTCTTCCTCCTGTTATCCCTACAACAGCAACAGATCAGTGAGGTGGAAAGGGCTGAGAGAGAGAGAGGGACGGGCCCAAAGTCACTCAACTGGCTTTCATGCCTAAGGCGGGACTAGAACTCACCGTCTCCTGGTGATTGGCCCAAAGTCACCCAGCCGGCTTTCATGGCTA